ACCATTGGGAAGGCCATGGAAGCTCATTTGTTAGGCCTGAAAGCCCAATTTTTCCTCATTCAAAACGAGATACTTAGAAGAAATAACTGACAGTCATCTCAGGTGGGCATTAGATGATACCATCTGACCAGCATAGGCCTGTGGGTGGAGAGATCTGTGGCTGAATGCAGGTAGCGACTAGCTAGAACTAGCTCAATTTGCTGTAATTAAATGAATTGGGAGCATGAGTTGAAATTACAGATGTTGCCAGCAACTGTGGCAGTCAATGGGGGTGCCAAGATGGAACTCTTAGAAAGAATGGCCTCTTTTTTTCTTTTGCTTTTCCTTGGAGATGGAGGGAGTAATTTGGTTTCATTTTTAACTCCATGAAAGCCATTCTCCCTACAGTCATGGACTGTGGATTTTAACTGATTAATTTCTAACTCTAATTTTCTGTGTGTGTTATATACCCTTGAACAATGGAGCAATATACAAAGGATGAAGTGCCCTCAGGGAGAAGCCATTCAGATGCTGCCTGGATGCACCCCTCGTAGAGACTTAGGCATGACTTAGGTTAAGGAGCATGGGAGGCCTCTGTTAGACCATATCTCAGCTGTCACAGAACTGCAAGTTCGGCAAACAATGTTTCTCAGTCTTGGAGCACATATGGAGCAGCCTATTGCTTATGCTGTCCACTTACATTCATAGCAGGTAGTCAGATGAACATTCCTATTTCTTTCCTTTGAGGGTATTCCTGAATCAGGCTCCACTTGTGCTTGAGCTGAGCAGGACTGACAGACAGACTACATGGGGTGCTGATGGAATCTTACCAGAATCAGGCAGACAGACAGACAGGCAATGTCCTCTTCCCTTTGTGGTACAATGTGAGCTGTTCAGATGGGGAAACAGGAATCCTCCTCCAGACCTCAGTGGGGATCCAAGAAATCTCCAGGGCTGCCTTGCCATTTGGAATTGGAGAGGTCTCTGCTCTGTCCATGAGGGACATGACTGGTGACCCAGGAAGTCAGCACAGTCAATTTCCCAGGCCAGTGCACCAGACACTATAGCAAGTAGGAGCAGTAAAACAATACCCAGGACTTGGCAGATTTATTTATGTCGACAGGTATTGATGAGGATCATTGCCAAAATATCAGTCCCTTATCATTAGTGGAAATATATGGGATAAAAAAACAGGAAATAAAGGAGAAAAATGCCTTTTCACCTGGGGATTAGCTCTTAAAATATGCATCCAAGTGAACAGCTATACATCACAGTGAACAGTTGTTTCTAGGAGACATAAGCAAGTGTAACTGCAACAGAAACTGCTACCTGGGCAGCTAAGAAGCTAAAATATACTGGCAGGGAGGAGGGTATTTTCTGTTACTGACCAATATCTAGAAAGGAATTGAAGACTCCAGGTGATCAAAGCCCCTGTGTTTGCTGGGGAATTAAGCATTTGGTGTTGTTCAGATGGGAGATCAAAGTCTTGCAAGGACAAGAGATCAGCTGACCAGGGTTGTGACATTAGCTGGACAAAGTCATGGGCCCCCTTGAGAAGCTGAGCCACCAGCAGCACACCCACAGCCAGCTGTTTATGCGTGAAGCTCCAGGGAGCCCAGAGGGGCAGCAGTGCCACAGCATGTAGAGTCCAAGATGCAGCAACCCAGGCCGATGGGATGCAGATGCCTCTGCGTAAGCCTAAGCCCTAAGGCAGCCTCTCCACATTCCCCATTTAGCTCCTAAGACTTTATTTATGACACTTTTGTTAAAAAAAATCACTATTGAGTTTCTAGCGCTACACGTGGTGAAGCTTGGTTGAGCTTTTTTCTGTAGTGATGGGACCTTCCTGCCTTCCCCCAGCAAAGGTGATAGCCTTTGCCACAGAGTCACTGCCCTTAAAAGAGCTTTAGGGGTGAAACAATGTATCTCATCTCTCCAACACATGGAAAAAAGCAGTGTTTCCAAAGGAAATCACAGGATTGGGCCCCAAGATGCTCAGATATTCAATATGGCAACCTGAGTTCTTCCTCCTTTGTGCTGGGATCCCAAAGATATTCATCCTACCTTTGGATGCTCTGTTTCTGAGAAAAGCAATTGTTTTGAACTAAATCTACTTCAATTCTGGCATCTATGTCTCTTCATTGGGGCTGTACTCTACAATTACTTTACCTCTTTCTAAAACCACATTGTCTGGAATCCATCTGAAAGCCTTCTGAAAGTCAGCTTTATAGAGTGTCTTCTTAAAAATGACAAGGGTCCTGCCTGCAGCTCCATCAGATATTCCCAGACTATTAACTCTACATTCTCAACTCTAAAGCACAGAAGACCTTCAGACTTTGTTTCTTCAGCACAGCTGCGAAGTCTTGATGTTCCCTTTGCCAAAAGGAAGAGCTTCCAAAGCCTGATGATCCTTTTGTGCTGTTCACTGAAACCAAAGTAGTAGTTTGCTAGTGTTTTACATTATGAGCTCTTCTGACCAAAGGCCTGGTGTCTCAATGCCTTATGTGTGGTCTTAAGCAGAGCTTCCACTGAAGATCTCCTAAACAGTGGCTTCTTACCAAAGTCCTTTTTATTTTTGAGCATTTCATCCTTTCTTGAATAAGACTTGATTATAGTATGGAAATGAGAATGGGTCACTTCAAAGTTGGGGGAACCCACACTGAAGAATACAGAAGACCAAATTGGGAGAATCCATGAACAGATAATGATGTGTGGCTTGAACTCTAGATTCAGAACTCAAGTTCCACAGCAGAAAGTCTTTGTCACTGTGGGCAACAACCATGAGCAACATGAACTCTTGCCATCCTATCATTCTTTTTTCTTTCTTTCTTTCTTTTTTCTTTTTGTCTTTCATTTATTTGCATACAGGTTCTCACTATTCAGCTCAGACTCATAATGATCCTCTGGTCTCAGCCTCCCCAGTGCTTGGATCACAAGTGTGTGGCATGATGTCTGGTTTTAGTGGCCAGCATAGAGCATCCAGGGTTCCAGGGATCAAACTCAGGTCCTTGCACTTTCCAGGCAGGCACTTAGATGATGAAGCTATCTTCCCAACCCCTCAGGTGGTCTTTTCTTTTAACTTAGCAGATAAGCTTGAGCAATTCTTTGTTACATTTCAGAACATCTCAACTTTCTTAGTCCTATCTTATGTTTAAAGAAATAAGAAAAAATGTAGAAGCAATAATATTCTTGATGTTTTATTATGTTAAGGTCTGTTAAGCATGAAACACATA